AAATTATTATTGATCTTCTAAGATGTTCTTAAGAACTGTTACATTATAGTTACCAGAGAACATCAAAGTAGGTATGCCAGGAGATAATTTCACTGGCAAATTGAATCTTTCTTACAACTAACCAATCTCTCAAGGTCACTTAGAGAAGGAGAAAAAGACAGTAACTTCAAAAAAATAAATCTTAGATAAACAAGAAGTAGCTGATTTATATAATCATTTATTATTTTTATTGAAAAAAACAAAATGAAGCAGATGATTCTAAACCAGCAGCTACAGAAAAAGCAGCATCCGCAGCAGCAAAGACAGCAGCATGAGATAACAAATTTGATAGCGAAAGCATCACCAAAGAAATGAGAATATATATAATAAAAATTATCATAATAATTATATACAAGATTCAAATTTTAAGAGTTTGTCAATTGAAAAAAAGAAAATAATAAACTTTAGATAAGTATATAAATAATGTTAATTAATTATAAAAAATGAATAATTATATTTTAGATTTTCTCTTATATTTCTAATTTCTATATATTTTATATTTTAGATATTTAATTTATGATAAATTTCAAAACAATCATTTAATCGAAAAATTGAATAAATAGAATCTAACAAAGGAAAAAAAACAGAAAACTCAATTATGATTAAAATATCTGATATTATTTAATTGCAGTAAAATTAGATTTATAATAGTTACAAACTTAAAATTGTATTTGTATATTTTAAAAAGTTTCATTCTAAATAGAAGTATATATATGAAAAATAAAAAAAATAATAAGGATAAATTAAAAAGATAATAAAACATTTTTTTTTCATTAAATAACATTTAAATATATTTATTAGAATTATATTATAAATGATAATTTTTAGGGACTTTATTTTATTTTTGGTTTAACAAGCTGCATTTTTGACACTTCTTTTTTATAAATCAAATTAAAATAATTTCATTTAATTACATAAAAATATTCTTCGTATTACTTCAAAATCTTAGCATCTTATTATTATTTAATATCGAATAATCTAATATTGAATATAATCTTAGAATAATGTTAGAGTTTATAAAACAAATACGATATAATTTTCACATACATTTTAAATTAAAGATCTTTTAATCATATATATTATATCTATTATAAATAAATATTTCTCACATTTATTTATCTAATACTCTTTTACCATTATATTTTTGACCACTATCCCCTTATCCATGTCTCTAATTTTTTTCCACTCTCCAGCCTAAAAAGACCCATCAGCATATTTAATACTACCCTTTCCAGTTCTTTTATCATTTATCCAATCATCATCATATACAGCTCCATCAAACCATGTATATCATTCTTTTCATGCCTTATACCATTTGCAAAATCTCATAAGTTCGGCAGCCCATTTGTAGTTCCCCTTTCCATTTCTTAGACCATCCTTCAAATATACCTTATAAATAGAGAGGAAACTTAAATATCCAATCATAGTAGGATCCCTACTAATTGTTCACCCTTAAAGATTCAACTGAAATAAACATAGTTTTCACCTAAACAAGAAAATAGTCTAGCTGAATTCTTGTTTCAAAAAATTTAAGCAACAATTGAAAAAGTATTCTTAAAATAAATTATGCTTAATAACTTATTTATAACAAAATCCATAAAACGAGAATTTTAGAAAAGAATTTTCTAAAAGCGTTGAAATTCCTATAGATTTTAAAACAATTAATAGTTATACCTTTATAAAAACATTAGGAATTGGTGCAACAGCTTGAAGTAAAATTAAAGAATTAGATAGTTATGTACATATACAAGAACTCTACTTAAAAACTTAAACTTTAATAAAATAAAAGGGTATTTAATTTATTATTTATTAAAATTTATAGGCATAGTAGATTAATGATTATAATGATAATACTTGCAAAAATATTGTCAATAATAAATAGCAAAAAAAAGAATTTAATATTAACACTACTAAAAATGAAAAGTTAAAAAATAATCAACATTCATGTGGAGTTTCAAAAACGAATCCATATTATTCGCCTTAATCTTTAATGAAAGAAGAATAAATAGGGGGTAAGTCTAAAATTAGTCATAATTTATAAGTTTATCCTTAATTTATTCTAAAAAAACATATTAATGGTATTGTTATTCCAACTGATAGATAAAATCGTTTTTTAAAATGGTTAAGAATTAGAAATCAAGGTATTTAATACATCATCTAAAATTTATTATAAATTAAGTAGGATAAGTTTGTTAAAACAATAAAATATCTAAGACAAATATAATAAGAATAAATAATTAGTGTAGAAAATTATAATTTAAAATGAAAAATAATATTTTGGATAATACAACTAGATAATAGATAAAAATAAGAAATTGATATATCCAAATAAGAAATTAATAATTAATTTTCTTTTCAAAACTCACATCGATAAATTAAAGTTGAATAAGCATATTTTTAATCAGCTATAATCCTTATTTACCTCGATAAACCTTATAATTTGAACCAAAAAAAGCACTGTTTCTAAAAAGTCTCAAATTTTTAAAAGTCCAATAACTCTTCTTAAAGATCAATAAGTGTCTTTTTTGTGTGATATGATTAGAAAAAATGCTTTAAAAGTTAAAACATAGTAGGGAAGAAATAGCAAGTAATTATGCTTGCATTGATACTTTAAAAAGGGAATTAAAAATAAATAAGATGCATTTGAAATGTGGTTTAATGAATGTCTTTCTTTAGATGAAAGAAGTCAAAGTGGAAGTCATAAAACAGTAAGGAGTGTAAGAAAAATATTAAAAAAGAATAAATCATTTTCTTAAAGTTTATCAGTGAGAAAGAATTCAATGAAATCAATTCATACTGTTTTTAAATAGACTAAAAAAGTTCGATTTTCTAAGGATACTAACTTTAATGATGAGAGAAAAGGACTATTATTTTTTATATATTTTAATGTGTCAACTGTTTCATTAGTTATTTTTTTGTTCATTTTTATTTGATTATATTTTCCAAGTTTCTAAATTTTAAGCAAGCTTTCTAATTCCTTCATTTAATTTTTCAGTATATGTTGCATCTTCTATTATTTAATAAATAATAAATATTACAATTTATTTCCCATCTGTAAGTTTTTTCATCAACATTGACTTTCTCAATATTTAACTTTTGGATTTTGATTTTTAAATTTAGTTCTATACTGTCCCTTCTAAACTTTATAAATCATTAAGCAATTTAATTGGAATGGTCATTCTATCAAACCACATAACTCAGTTGCTTCATCTACCAAACGTAGTGATGCTGCCTATAATAATTATAAGAAATGAATAATACGATAACAATCGTATAAATTAGTAATTAATATATTTGAATTTTTTAAAACTATTCCATATATTAGTTACTAATTTTACACCTGGAAGATTTTATTTAGAATAATCATCACCACTTTTATTTTAGTGAAGCAATCTAAAATTCTACCAATAAATGGGGTAATCAATCTAGCTCCTGCTTAAGCACAAGTTAAAGCTTGTGATAATAAAAATTGCGTGTCATATTGCATTGAATTCCTAATTTTTTAAAGATTTTGCTTCCCAATGCTGGAAATTTTAATAAAGATTATCTCCTTTGTAAGCTCATAATTGATATAAGGCAATAATTCTTTTGGCTGTATCAATGGTTGCTTATTTTTCATAACTCATACGAGCATCTACTTCAGTACAGACATAACCAGGTACCAACTTAAGGATTATCCAAATCAAATGGCACTCAATTAATCTGTTATCATTCCAATAACAATTTTTTGTTTTTCTGGATTTAATGTATTAAAATTGAATTATGGTAATTCGGATTCAACAATTTCCTTATTTTCATGTTCATCTTTCTTCTTTCTAGAATTGTTCTTTTTTTGGTTATTTTCATCTAAAACTTAACAAGAGACATACACTCGTTATTTGGATAGTTGATAAGCTTTGAATCCTTTTTGAATAGCATCATCAATCAAGGCTTAATATTCTGGCAATTTAGCACTTCAAGTATAAGACTTGGATTAGTAGTGGCATTTTGAGGATTTTTAGATTTAATTAATCTTGCCAAGATTTATGACCACAAGATAGTAGAATGTATATAAATCATAAATACATCTCTAAGAGAATTCAGAGCATTAGAATTTGATTTAACTTTCTTATATTGTGAGGAACCATCATGTTGTACTTCAACAGATTCCATAATTAAATAATAATAATCTATAACATTAAAATAATTATGAGTGGAATTTATACTATATTATATTTAAAAAATCGCGCCTAATTATGAGTGCAGAAAATAAATCAAGAAGAGAGAAGTTGGTATAATAATATCTAAATTATACAATTATGATATACAAAGAAGTTTCAATTTAATAAGAGACACATTCATAAGAAGTAAATTGTACTTAATTTAATAATTTATAATCTAATTTATTCGCTACTGGAACAATTGATGCTTAAGTTAAAATGTATGAAATGTAAAAACAAGAGGGAGCATTCATACTTTTATGAATCATGAAGATGCCATTGATATTATTTATTGGTTTTTAAAAAAAATTTAATTGCATCAAATTCTGTTGATACTAAAATTATTTTGTGGATGGGATTTTTACAAATATGGAAATGATATTTAAGCTACAAATAATTTATTAGTTTTATCATGGAGGACATAGATCTAAAGTTAAGGAATATAAATCATAAATATTAAGAGTTGAATAAGCAAAAACATCATTTAAATTTGGAAAATTTAAGCATAATTATGGGAAGTAGATAAAATGATATTTCTAGTATGATTAAATATTATTTATAATGATTGAATAATCAATTAAAAATGAATCTGTCTTTTCATTGATCTAATAATTCATTTAAAGGACCAATTATTTTTATATTAAATTATAATTATTATTCTTAAACTTTTAAAGTACAGAATTAAATAAATTTTTTTTTATTGCATGATTAAGTTTATATATTTGATTATTTCCTTCTGTCAATTATATTATTCTTAAATAATTGTATTTTATTCTTATTCTCTTAAAACTAATAATTAGTTTAAGTTTAAAATATATTTCGATAAATGTTTTATAATAATTATACATAATAATAATAATGTGGATCTAATACTCACCCAATTTATGGGTTTGGGGTTGGGGTTGGGGTTGGGTTTGGG